ATTTGACAAAGTTAGTTTCGTTTGAATGAGGCAGGTCATGTAGGAAGAAAGAAAAAAGAAAAGGAGAGAGGACAGCACCTTGTGGAACACCGGATTTTGTAAGCGAGGTAGAAGAAGATTTGCCGTTATATACAGTATACTGCATTCTATCAGAAAAATAGGAATGCAACCAACTCTTAGCCCAGGATCCTGTTTGTGTCAACGATAGCTTATTTAATAAAAGGCCCCTAGGTACAGAGTCAAAAGCAGATGTGTAGTCTAAGAAAGCACTACGAACATATTTAGCACCTTTGTCTAAACAAGAGACAACATTGTGATATAAGACAACCGCAGCATCCAAGGTACTTCTACCATGTTTGTATGCAAATTGTTTAGGATCATTAAAAGGTTTCAATGAAGGTTCAAGACGAAGTAAAAGTAATTTTTCCATCAATTTTAAAAAGGGGGAAGTAATTGCAATAGGCCGAAATTTAATATCAGAACCAGAAGATGGTTTTGGTATAGGGATAATTTTAATGTTTTTCCATGCAAAAGGTAGAACGTTACCGGAAAAAGAAGCATTAAAAATGTTAGTAAGAGGATAACACAAAATATCAGCACAATTCCTGAGGACAATGGCAGGTATGCCGTCAGGACCAAGGCTTTGAGAAGGCTTAAGAGACCGGAGACATTTAAGCACATCAAGGGTATTAAAACCACTAAAGTTATTGTCAATATGATTTGTATCATTTGGAAGGGTATCAACAGAAGAGCGTATGAAAGATTTATTAAGAGTGTCAACATTAAGAGATGGAACAGAAATACATCGCTTACCGTTAGTAATTTCTTTGAAAAGTTTCCACAAATTAGAAGGGGTTTTACATGACAAAAATCTTTGATTATATAAAACTTTAGTCTTTTCATTTCCAGTTTTATCAGAATGTTTAACTTTTTTACACCAGGCTTATCATTTGTTTTGAACAACAGTTCTTTATCTCTACGTAGCTTTTTGAGATATGGCGAAGATAAGCGATCAAATCGAATGAATAATGTTTCTTTAGGACAACATATTTCGAAACAGAATTTAAGATAATCAGTAGTGTTTGTGATTGTTTCATCTAATGTTTGTTCTGTAAATAAGTCCCAGTTAGTGTCTTTCAACATGCATCTGAGCTTGTCTAGGTTGTCTTTTGAGTAGCATCTCCGTTGAACTTTACTGTAGAGGTGAGAAAGGACACCTTTGTGTGATTTGGAATATATTTTAGGCAGTACACGTATGATGCAGTGGTCAGAGTTAAGTAAGGGAGCACGTTTGCGAGCTTCATATATACCAACATCATTGATAAATACTAGATCCAGTGTTTTACCAAGACGGGTGGCAAAGTTAACAATATTGTCATGACCAAGTGATATAAGGAAGGAGTGATCGCATGAATTAAAATCACCAGTTACTATTGATAAAGAGTTCTCGAAGCAAGCTGCAGCAAAAGCGGTGAATTCATCAGCGAACATAGATAAATCCAATATGGTACAGCCAGGAGAGACATAAACATTAGAAATATAAATGAATTTGTATTTTGACAGGTGTTTCGGGCGACATCTCACAGTGATGCAATCAATGTAGTCATTCGAGAATTTGAAACAAACTTTGTTAGAAATGGGTTATACACCACCACTTTCACACAGTACAAATTATGTTAGCCAAATAATCTATGCAAATCAGATAATTCTTGATGAAGATAACAAAAGTCAAGTTATTTCTGTAGTGAAAAAATTGTTTTCATTAAAAGGGTGAAGAAATGACTGAAAGACTTTATAAAAAATACACTCTCGGTGATTTGCTTATTTCTAATATAGTTAAAATAATTAGTCTCGCATATTTTACGATGAAGTTATTTTCTATTCTGTTGTTATTTACAAAATCCATTGTGAGACTTATATGACAGTGATTCTCTGACAAGCTAATAATTAGCGTAATCTTCATTCTTTTAAAATCATTTCTGAATATTTGAAAAAGTAAGTAACCCAGCCTGTTTTACTAGCTAGGCTACTTTTCTAGCCCGTTCAGCTCTTGTCCGCACCAAGTAAAATACTCAGTCGAATCATCTTGGAGAGACTAAAAGACGCACTGGATGCAAAACTCCTACCGGAACAAGATGGCTTCAGGAAAAGCAAATCATGTGATGATCAAGTGGCATGTCTACACATCATCATCGAACAAAGCATAGAATCCTAGTCAAACCGATCTCTACCTCAAATTCATCGACTTCCAAAAGGCCTTCGATACACAGCCTTGACCGAGAAGTAATTTGGAAACTACTTGAATACTATGGCGTGCAGTCTCCAAGTCTTTATCAATCTCATTCAACAACTGGCTATGTGATAATTCCACGTGTCAGTTAAATGATCCACGACGGGAAACTTACACAGCAAGGGCTCTGAAGTGCATACAGGAGTGGGACAAGCCGGTTGTCTATTATCAATGATGATATTCCTAATTGTGTTGGACTGATTGGATTATGCGCCAGACTGTGAACAGATAGTGGGGAGACGGAAATACGCTGCATTGACCGATAAGAAGACTCTAAAATATCTTGATTTTGCTCGTGGATGATTTATATCTACTGTCACACAGACTCGTAGACTAACGGGTGAAAAGCAACAAACTGTCAGAAGAGGCAGCTGGCGAATACAAAACTCCAGGTGATCATGGAGAAGACGGAGGGGATGCAGATAACCAACAAACAAACAAACAAACAACAACGAGCACCAATCACCATCACTGGGAGAGATCTGACAGAGGTTACCTCCTTCACTTATATAGACCAACAGCGTCGTTTCAACCACAGGCAGTCGTAACGGAGAAGATGTCAGAGCCAGTCAGTCAGAAATGGAAGGTGAAGATACACTTTCATTGACTTGAAGGCAGTTTGTAAATCTTCTTCTCTCAGCAGCATAAACAACAAGATTCGGATTTTTAGCATCAATGTCAAATTGGCCTCTCTATACGGGTCAGAAACTTGGAGAGAGTATCACGAAGAGGATTTCGAGCAGCCTGTTGAAGACTTTTGTCATCAGCTGCCACCTTCACTGGTTCCTTACTGAAGATTAAATGGCCCGCTGACCAGAAAGAATTAGTAATAAAAAACTTTGGCTGGCAGGAAACCAATCAGGAACCTATCTTTCAACAGATATATGGGTGAAAATGGGGATGGATTGGATAAACGTTGAGGAGGCGGTGGAATGAAATCGCGCTTGATGCAGGCCATGGAAAGCGACGAGTGAAGCCTCCAAGGCAGAATATAGAGGAAGTAGTGTGGGTAGGAGGAGATGAGAGATTGTGGGCAATCGTGGGCCCAGTTGAAGAGGTCAGCAGTAAATAGAAGAAAGTGGAGATGTTTTGTCGAAGCCTTATTTTCCACTCGGAAACCAAGGTAATAAAACTGATAAACAAACAAACCTTTTGCAGTACAAATCTTGCATTCCAATGTGTGTCATTCAGTAATTCCTTTAAGAGATTATTCATTGACATTTTCTGACTGCTTAAGATGGGATAACTATATAGTTCAGGATGCATTAAATGCATGGATTCCACATTAATGGAATATAAGATTGAAGATTATAGTTTTACTTATTGTTTAGTACAAAATAGCTTAATTAAGAGCTAATTAACTGTCTCACGTGATCAGATAAGAATCAGACTTACATAAATTCCCTTTCTTCGCTTTCAAAGTAGGGAGTTGTACAGAATTTTCCTATGAGTTAAACTCAACAGGCGAAGTTATTTGTAAACCAAGCGTTATATAGGATCATTAACAACTGTTTCGAGTCAACTATTGACTCATCAGGTTTTTTAACAAGTTCTTTTTGAAAAAATAGAAAACTGTTCAGTGGGGTATGCGTGTGAAGTCTAAAGTAAATACGAATTCATTTCATTCAATACATATTTAATCCAAATTCGTACGTCTCCTTCTTTAAACAACTAGCGGATGTTTGTTTAATTATTTTTCACGATTATGTAATTTTTTTCGCCATATTTCAATGTATAATCGTTGTAAACCCAATGAAAACTGGACGACGACGTCATCCACTACATTCCTACAGGAGGTGAATCGGAGACCGAATAGCTCAGTGGTAACGTCTCTGACTGCAGCACTGGATGACGCGGGTTCAAATCTCAGAAGAGACGTGGGTTCCCTCAAGGTTGCAGATACGCCTTGCTGACTGGTGAGTGCCAACTGGCACAAAACCTAGGTCGAGCAAGGCTTCCTGCCGACTGCCTCCAACTATCCAATATCATCAAAGGTATTAAAATGCTTGTGGATTTGTTAGATACTGTTATCAGTAGCAGTGTGTATTGTTAGTAGGACTGCACAAATGTTTTACTTTTTTATGAACCCTGTCTTTGTGCTCACCTATATTTAAATCTTGAAAAGTCAGGCAGAAAAGGTAATGTGAAATTAATCACTGAAATTAGGAAATACGTAAAACCTAGACCAATTGTTTCTTAAAATAAACGAGGATTTGATCATATTTAGGGTTTTTTAACACATATATTTAATTCCACATTAATACAAAATCAGGCTTTACCTATAGCTTTCAAATCTTTCAACACAAGATACATTTCGTCAAACATTGAAAAAATTATGAGGATATATTCTAGTGACTCATAAATAATAGAAAAAAATTATTTTCAGACATTAGTAGCAGGGTTGATATTTCATAAAGAAAGATATTCAAAATCCTATTTGATGATATTCCTTTTAGAATTTATTAAAATGGCCTTCAGTTAAGGAAGAAAACCAAAATTCTACGCTGAATTTTATTTTATAATAATAATAATATGACAAGAATGTAAAATTAAATCTCATAAAAATGTTATGTTAGAAGTAATTAATTAATGTGCACTGGGTATTCACCAAAAGAAATTCAATATTTTAACCTACTATTTGAATTAGATTGTCAGTTGATATTTACACAAATGTCAGCAAAATCACTGAATCGTCCTCTAGTAATATTTGTCAATTAAAAGCATGGTATAATATAATAGCGAATGAAATCAAGTAATAATTCAGTTGAAATAAACTCCGATTCGATCCATTACGTTCACGGGAACAATGTGTTTCATTTGCATATGGTCCAACACAAAGTGAATACATAGTGACATGTGCTATGAAGGTATTATCACATGAAGAATGAAACAATTCACTAAATGGTCCTTTGGCGTAAATTGGAACATCTTCAGCACTGTGTGTCGACTTTACCATTGGGACAAGTGATTGGGCAGAATAACTTTTCTCAAATCTATTTTCAACTGCGGGATCTGATCGATGGTCATCCAGAATACCTCGTGGTCCATTAAAATAAGAGGATATTAAATACGATTTGTTGTCATCACCCTGTAGGTCAATATAAAATCTGTTTGTTAACTTTACCCATACAAATTGAGTTAATTAGTAGTTTTAGTATTCAGAGAGCACTAGGTAACAGTGACAGGTTTAATTCTAAAGTGACGTATATGTCGAAAAAATGGTCATCATCACCATTTGACAAACAAGGATTTCAGTGATTAAAATGTTTCACAATAAAAGTAGAGAACATGAAATTTGTTTCATAATCCAATATTCCACTCATCAGTTAAAACTTATGTGTCATTTTAAGTGAAATCATCAACCTAATCTATGATGGTTCAGGTAAGATATGCTAAGTTCCATCTGAAATGCTAGATTGATTCTAATTCAATCGTTAGATGGTGCGTCGGTGGAAAAGCGGTTAAGATGCTCGCCGACCATGCTCATAGTCCGGCGTTCGATCTCAGGCCGATGCATTCCTTTACCTCGCTAAGCCTGAAATAATGCTGGTAAAGAGGAAAGGTTGGGAATGAGGCTAACAACCCCATCCTGTAAAAATTAAACACTACTGCAGAAACTTCAAGCCACTAGCTTGAGGTGCTATGTTCCGCTGGGAAAGTGAAAGAAAAAGAATGAAATAAATAATCATTAGATGAAAAACATAATCTATAGTGTAAGTGGGTTAGAACTAGCCTATTTGTCCTAACCCATAGTTTAATATTTTCTATTACAGTATGTTGAATAAATCATTCCTATTTCATTCGACACATTCCAGAATCATCATACTTAGTGAATGGTAAGTTTTCATGGCATGCAAAATGTCGCGGTTGCTTAGCACTGATTTTCATGTATCTTTATCGACGAAATCATCTTTAGAGGCTGTACAGTCGTATTTACACTTAGAAAAATGTATACTGGTCTGTTATTGAGTAATGGGGGGTGACATAATTGATATAATTGATCATAAGTGGCTTTAGAAGTGAAAATTAAAAGTTGTAAATTACGTGGTACTCAACGGAACAAAGATAGAAATTTGATAAGGTTAAAATTGCTCTTGAGTGAGAATAAAGTTGGTATTTGAGTGTCAGTTTAACAAGTGTGAAAATATACAAAAGGAGCATATGAAACTGATAATAGTGAAACTATCTGCTTTATATGCAAATTCATTGAGGATAATAATATAGACGTAGGTGTTTCGATTCATTACTTAAGGGAACTACTTTTGAGGTGCACTCTAAATGTCCAATTCAAGTTCAACAACACGATTTATAGACAAAGAGAAGGAGTAGCAATGGGGTTACCATTGGGTCCTTTACTTGCAGACTGCTTATTGGCTAGTTTAGAGAATAGTATTTTACAGCCTACTATCGACAGTTTCCATCTGTACCAAAGATACACTGATGATACTTTCATCATATGTGATGACAATACCGACATCGAATTGATAACTAGGGAGTTCAACAGCTGCCATCATGCCATCAAGTTCACGTCGGAATCAGAGATTAACTCGGAATTCCATTTTTTGGATGTTTTTCTAAAGAGGAGATCTGATGGTTCTCTTCAAAGATCGATTTACAGGAAACCAACATGGAATGGTCAGTACACAAATTTCCATAGCTGGGTCCCTTTAAGAAGAAAGAGAAATCGGATCCATTCCTTATCTTCAAGAATAAGGAGGATATGTTCAAGTGATACAATCGATGAGGAACTGGAGCGACTCAGACAAGTTCTCATAGAGAATGGATATCCTCCAAGATTTATGGAGAAAAACATGAAGTTAAGAGTAAAGCCTGAAAGAATCCAGACGGTGCCGAAGAAACTGCTCTTTATGAGTGTTGCATTTAAAGGTAATATCGCAGCTGAGATCCTGAAGAATCGCTTATGCAGATCACTGAGGAAAGCCTTTTTTATGGCTGAGCTACGTATCAATTTCTACAGCCAACAAATGGTCAACGGATGTGTGAAGGATAAGCTGCCGCTTTGGACCACCTCAATGTGTGTTTATAAATTCACCTGTTCGTGTGGAGCTAGTTATATTGGCCGCCCGAACAAAGCGCACGCTTTCCAAACGCATCTCTGAAGATTATCCGGCATGGTTAGCAAAGGGACAATGCAAGACAATTATTAGCTCAATTCTCGAGCATTTGGTGAACTCAGATCACATAGCTGCACCAGAGTCGTCTTTCAACATCATCTACAAAGTGAAGCCGAATGGTACAAAGGGCGTCAGGTTTCCGCTTTTGTGTATGGCGGAGGCGCTGGCGATTCATCAGTACAACCCTGAACTCCGTATGCAGAAAAAGTTTGTCCAATCTCTTATTCTACTTTGGTTTTAACCTCTTCACTAATCGTTCCCTGTAAAAAAATTTGATCTTTTCTTTTGTTCTTAATTTTACTTTCAGTTTGCTTTTGCTTTAACAATTAATTCACTATTATCAGTTTCATATGCTCCTTTTGTATATTTTCACACACTCTTCACACTTGTTAAACTGACACTCAAATACCACCTTTATTCTCACTCAAGAGCAATTTTAACCTTATCAAATTTCTATCTTTGTTCCGTTGAGTACCACGTAATTTACAACTTTTAATTTTCACTTCTAAAGCCACTTATGATCAATTATATCAATTATGTCACCCCCTATTACTCAATAATAGACCAGTATATATGTGTTTGTAAGTATAAATACGACTGTACAGCCTCTGCAGATGATTTCGTCGATAAAGAAAATTTTCTTCGCTGAATCTGTCTTTTATTTTCTTCATGACTCAATGGGTATTTTCCGTGATTTTCATGTATCCTTTTCGTCAGATTAAATGTGTTTATGTATAACACAACTGCTAAAATTTGATACATAAAGTTAGGAATAATGTTGTTTCCGCTTTTCTCGCACTTCAGGAATATATGCATATAGTTTGTAACAAGAAAAAAAGAGTAATACTTTTTCCAACCAAATAATAACCACTGTATGTGTGAAGACTTTCGACAGATTCTACACTGTCTTGTTTGATAATCCTTATTATGAAACTTGGAAGAATAGAACCGTATTAAGTGAAGATATTTTTGGAATAGTTCACCTTTGCTATGAATTTAGATAAAGTATTCAGAAGGCGAATATTATGAGATGATATCATTTTGTAGTTTCTCTACAATCTCTTTTACAACCAGTACGACTGACAATAATGACATTTTTGACAGTCCATCAATTACTTTCGATATAAAGAAGTATTAACATAATTTCATTCTACTGACTCTACTACAAATCGTATGTATAAGTTTCCCTGTAGCTGATAGAGCACATATATAGTTAGAATTAACACACTGTGTCATTGTCGCAGGAACGTGCTCTTTGGTAATTAAACTAGACTTAATTCAGCAGAGTTCCTTTTGATTAATTAGTTTTATTCTTATTTTTTTATTTTTGATTACAGCTTGATTCCACACTGTATTTTTGGTACAAGTATGGAATTTTCAGCGTGGATATCGGTAGCCTAAATTTCACAGGCCGACCATAGATATCAGGTGTGCGTCGGCAGGGGATCGAACCTCGGACCATGTGCATAGTCGGCGAGAGTCCTAACCACTGTGCCACCGACGCACGTTACGTATATACAGTAAATTTCATGAATCTGCTAAATACTTATTCATTTACAATATACAGTAACAAATAAAACAGATGCATAGTTTTTATTTAGTGGATTTTCAAACGTTTGATTAATCAGAAGTTAGAGTTTTTATGAACTGACATCCATTTTAGAACGATTAAAAAAATATGTGAAACAAACAGCTGTTGTTTCCTAGTTTGGAGATTTTCAGCAGCATACACTCATAACCTCACCCGTGATCGAGTTCAAGAATATGTCACCACTTAACATATCTAATGGCCTATGAATCCTGAATCCTGTCGACTCACAATGTACGTCCATTTGCATATCACGTTATTAGCGGATATTTTTCCTCACTGCCGACACGATGGACTTCATATAATCACCAATTCTCATTAGGACTTAAAGAGGTGTATCTCCTGGTTGGTCACTAATGAACACAGAGCTGATCTGCAAATGTTGAGCTTTTTGGCAGTTTGACTGACTTCAGGTTTGGTTTCCTCAACAACTCGCTAGCTAATGTCAGTTCGTAACAAAATCTACTTAGAAATGTCAAGTGGCTAAAAATAGTTAGTGTTATTCAGTAACTTCACCTCTGTATGTGTATACTAGTTTAAGTGCTCCTAATCATCTGGGTATATTGGTCATTTGACATTGACTGTGTGCAAAGGTGTTTAAAGAACACGATCATGAATGATGATATGAATGGTGAAAGGGAACTTGTTTTGGAAAAAGTGTAAATTTTGTCGGCACTGGTCATTCATAATTCCTAATAACTTATCAGGTAAAAACATAACCAGCTACAAGTAGTCTGTCGCTTTCTGTGTATTACTGAAATCTCAGCTATCAAAACACAAAAACCTCCTTCGATTTGCTCAATCCTTTTAATGCTTTTGTCAATGAAAACATCCTTTTACATCCCCCACGCAATGTAGCTATTACAAAATGTCAACAGTTCTCTGTTTCGATCCCTATTTTGATATCAGTTTACTTTTTTATCGCTTTGATGCCTGACTTGAATCCTAACTCGTAATTACTCACTGTGCGTCAGTGGCACAGTGGTTAGGACTCTCGCCGACTATGCACATGGTCCGAGGTTCGATCCCCTGCCGACGCACACCTGATATCTATGGTCGGCCTGTGAAATTTAGGCTACCGATATCCACGCTGAAAATTCCATACTTGTACCAAAAATACGGTGTGGAATCAAGCTGTAATCAAAAGTAAAATAAAAATAAATTGAACTTTCATTATACTTTGATTAGTCCTCACTAATGTTAACGATTGCGTTTGTTTCACTTGATACTTTATATTTGAGGTGAAAAATTGTCGAACATAAGCATAAGAACAATTGAATGTAGTTACTAATTCACTAGTTTATTGACCCATCCTAAGCCTTCAGGAAGAGGAAAGGTTAGGCGCGGAGCCATCCTGCCCTAGAAAATCCACCCAGTCGTAACAGAAACTTCAAAGCAAAGAAAAATTAAAAAAATAAACCCATTTTTCTATGGATTCGGAGAGACAAAATGAAGCAAGCCAGTGAAATCCTTCGAGAGGTCAGTCATCAATTGTGTATTCTTCGGGTTACGGCAAAAATAAACACTAGGATATGGAATGTCCTCACACAGTTTGAAGCTTGGTAGGCTACTCAGATTGCGAAAGAAATGAGAAATTTATGGGAGTAAATGGAATGGATCTGGACTGTCATAACTATTAACCGGACAGCAATCTACTCCGGTCACCCATATGGCAACCACAAACACACACACACACAAATAGAGTGGCAGTCATGATATCACCAACAGTAAACAGAATTATTATGCAGTGGGAACCAATCTCCTCCAGGATTATAACAGCAAGATTCAACTCAAAAGGAAGCAAAGTTACAGTCATCCAAAAAAAATATGATAAAATGAATGATATACACAAACTTGTAAATTACTTTAGCAGTATCATCCACATCGAATACAGATGTGCTTCTTGTGGGATAACCGACTAATCCGTAAGCCTGTGAATGATCAGCTGTAACCATTAACAATGTCTCACTTGAGTCGACAAGGTTTACAGCCCTCGACACAGCTCTTTCCAGCTCCAAAGTTTCAGTTAGTGCATATCTATATTTTAATGGAGTATTAAAAAAACAACAAATCGTATTAGAATTTAGTTAAAGGAAAACCTCATGCCTAAAAAATAAATGCGCAGCACTTCAAAAGTATCTGTTTAGATAATCACCAGTGACAGATTATCAGCCAAAAAGATTAGAAAGAACTCTGAACTACAGTCTGTGTGATTTCATGGTTTTTATGACTTGAAATGTATCCAGACTTGTCGATCAGAAAAGATGGAAACAAGTAAGATGCATTCATTAGTCTCATGTAATGAACAGACGTAAAACCAGTGCGTGGGCGTTCACTTCTGACAGCAATTGCAATCATATTTACAAAACACAAAATCTGAATAAAAACAGAACTTTTGACATTATATTGTTCTTCAGAATTTGGAATAATGCGCAAGATTAGCAGCTAAAGTGGATGAATTTGAAGTGAGTATGTTCATTAGGCTGGATATTTTCTAGAAAGACAATGAATGCTTTTCAACTGAACCATTCGACCGACAGAGCACAATCACATCAGAATCTTCTTCAGTTGTGATCGGTTTCCTCGCCTACATTATTGTTAGACGAACAATCATGAGGAAATTTCATGTCTATTTACAATAATCTGTTTCCTACCAAATTTCTGTTTCATCATTGAACATATTTACTAAAAGTAGAATCTCATAGCTCCAACTTCACAGTACCTCTGAATTATTTGCTAACACAGAAGTTAAGTGGACAAAAAACTCATATCGATTATAAGGATATGTCTTATCAGCTGGGAGTACCATTGAAATCCTCCTATAAGTAGTAAGTCGACCTTCAAATTAATTCTCAGATAATCACTAGTCATGGATCAATGTGAATTACCATAAAACCTATCGAACTTTAAACCTATATTTGACTATCAATAAAATTTAAAAATGATCCTACTCATCAAGAGTGAAGCGCCAAGATAAAAAATAATAGTGGTGTGATAAAATCAAAAATATTTCTCACTGTGCTTGATTAGAGTGATGACCATGATCAATTCGACCTCCTTCCACTAAGAGAAGAAATCCTTTTGGATTACGAGATAATACTTTGATTGCAGCTTCTGTCATATCAGCTAAACTTGGTTGGTTTGTATTATTATTAATGTAGTAGTCGAAATGATTTGGAGCAAACAAACCTGAAATTTCAAGCATAAAGTGTGATGTTTATTGTTAAAGACTTTTCTAAGTAGTGAGTAACCTGAATAAATGATATCATACCTAAATTAATCATTTGATGGCAAACATGAGCTACTGCATCTACTTTCGAAAAGTGCCTTTTTTCTATAGTTTGGTTTGTAAGGGTTGGCTAGGTTTTTACGAGTTTATTACGGATTGATATCAGTTAGAGAACCATTGAAAACCAGGGAGTACTGGACAGCTGCTGTTTCATCCTAGTTTGAGAATCATCGGCAGTTCGCACGCACTGGGATTCGAACCCAGGACCTTCTGTTTACAAAGCAAGCTCGTATACCATTTATCCACTGAGACCCAATTCAATGGCTCATGAATTCTAACTTCTACCAATTCGTGATTTAGCGTGGCCCTAACCATTGTCTTTGGTGGGACATCCATCCACACACGTGACATCTAATTGAACCTGACTGGTTACGACTTCTCACTAGAACTCCAGGAAACTCCAACCCGTAGCAAGTCACTAGCGAACATCAGATTAATTTTCTATAGTTTGGTTTGTAAGGGTTAGTTATGTTTTTAAGAGTTGATCACGGATCGCAGTGGCTGAATGGTATACGAGCTTGCCTTGTATCGGAAAGTCCTGAGTTTAATCCCAGTGCGGGCGAACTGCCGATGATTTTTAAACTAGGATGAAACAGCAGCTGTCCAGTACTCCCTGGTTTTCAATGGTTCTCCAACTGATTTCAATCCATGATCAACTCGTAAAAAGTTTTTAATAAAAATAAGTAACGGCAATAAGATCTCAGCATAAAATCGTGTATTACATCAGTTCACAATAAAACTTAATAAAAATGTTAAATTTATCAATGGTACATTAATAGAGCAAAATCTTGCGAATCTTAGCTACCGTATTAAATATTTTCTGCCGTATATTGTGGAATAAAGTCACCTCGAATTGTTATCTTCCACGAGGTATTTTTCGAAACAGCTAAAATTCATACTCTGGTATAAGTGAGATTTGTTATTCGGTTTCTATAAGAACGAAATTTCAGACATCATATTAAACTTACCTGCTGACGATGATGGACGGTTCAGTAACGTTATGAGAATTACAAAAGGTCGAGGAACTAATGTTACCAAAGGATCTCATTGATTTTCAGTCTTCACCTGTTATCCTTGGTGACATCAAAGAACGGCTACATGTAAATAAGTAATGAAGTGCTTATAAACTGTTCAAAGATATTTATTTTCCTCTTCTGAAAGCGTGTAGGCGGTGGTTACTACGCCGCTCCTCACACCGTGTGAGTTGACTATTTCTTAGTGTTGCGAAACCACAGAGCCTAGGGGATAAATATTTGAGGTCCGCTACGCATGGCCTGTTTGAATTGGTTATTAGAGCTGTGCCCATATTAGGGACCCACTGGCGCCTTCGGACCGCCATAGAGTTAGTTGGGATGTACAATTTTGGAGGTCGACCTTCTCTAATCCCCCTCTTTAGAGTGAGGAGCCAACATAGCTGACTTGCTGGTCATTTGAGGGAAACACCCTACGACTGCTACATCCCTGCTCCCTAACAGTACGACTATGCTAAAAGCATATTGTGGAAATTTTACACTACACATCAGCTCCAACACATATACTGCTGGCGGAATCTCAGCATGAATACAAAAGGCTCGTGAGGAATTCGTCAACCTAAGTCATCTGTAACGTTGATGTGATATCCGGCTGTCCACAGAAGGATTCATGTACTGCTCACCAGCTAGTTCCGACCTCGTTTATGTCTGTGAGACATGGTCATTTAAAGTGAAAGATATAGAAAGGTTAACTGTCTTTGGTCATAGGTGTCTGCATTCTGTCTCCCATGTTAGGTGATACAATATGGTGAGTAATATTGAGGTTAGGCGTTAAGTGTTAGGTAGGGAGGGAACTTCAGTCGATAAGGTTGTAAAGTTGCGTCGATTGAGATGGCTAGGACACATGTTTCTCATACTGAACCCTCGCCCTCCTCGACAAATAATGTTCACTGACATAGGATCCGGTTGGGGTCAAACCAAAGCATGTCACTAGTCCATGAAATCTTAAACAGTTAGATCAATGGGCATACAAAGGTGGAGGCTTCCTGGTTGGGATTATCGGGATGATAAGAACCAATTAAGGCTGGAGGCGACCAGTAAAATGGCCCAAAATAGCTATCAATAGTCACCAGATGCATTCGCTAAATGCGACCTCTCTTATCCATTAAACTCTTTTTTATCATGTTACTGTTCTTTCTCCCCAACATTTCTTCTCTAATCTTTCCTTTTTTTGTCTTCCTTTGTGTGCTTCATGGAATGCCATAACTCGAAATGTCGTACTTCTATGCAAAGTTATATGCTGAAACCAGTCAGTCAGTATTTTCCTCGCCATTTGAAAAGTTTAACTCAACTACCAGAGAAGTGAATTGATCTTTGTCCATTTACCAATCCAAAGACAATTAAGCGTTAAACGACCAGTGTTTTGTGTGCAAAGGAAGCAAGTTCAGCGACTACTACCTCCCTGGCCTTCAGTATACACAACAAATTTATTCTTTCCTAAGTTTTCTGACATTCAGTTTATTGTTATGTTGATGTTATTGAACTGTAATCCATTGATAATATCATTTTAGACAAAGCAATAAGAAGACGTAATTAGTCTGAATCATATACTACATTTGCGCGCGCAACACATTTCGAACAATTAGATCACAAACGCACTTGTCATAGGAATACATATGAAATTAATAAAGAGTTAGGAGACTTATGGAGATTTAAGTCAATGCAAAAACTGGCGCGGAATTATGCTCCTGTCCATCCCAAGCAAAATACTAAGCCGCATCATCCGGGAGAGAATCAAACAAGCCCTGGATGAAAAACTCCGACAGGAACAGGCTGGATTCAGGAGAAACATGTCATGTATTGATCAAATCGCCACTTTAATAACCATCATTGAACAAAGCCTAGAATGGCAGTCACCTCTCTATCTCAACTTCATCGACTTTGAAAAGGCCTTTGACAGCGTCGATCGAGAGGTCATTTGACAAATACTTCGCTACTACACAGCGCCGTCGACAATTATACATCTCATCCAACAGTTATACGACAATGCTGCATGCCAGGTAATCCACAACGGAAAACTTACGGAAGCCTTCGAAGTGAGGACGGGAGTGAGACAAGGCTGTCTACTATCACCAATGATCTTCCTGATTACAGTAGATTGGATAATGTGACAGACAACGGGCCGGACAATGGGGAAACAGGCATAAAATGGACTCACACAAAAGACTTGGAGGATCTGAACTTCGCCGATGATATATGTCCGATTTCCCACTCACTCGAAGATATGCAAGTGAAAAGCAACAAGTTGGCAGAAGAAGCATCCGGAGAAGATGGGACTTCAGGTGAACATAGACAAAACAGAGGTGATGAAGATTCCTGGCCAACACCAACAACAGCAGCAGTAACAGGCAAAAATCAGCCAGCATAAATGGGAGGAACCTGAAAGAAACAACCTCCTTCACCTACCCAACTACCTGGGAAGCATCGTTTCAACTACAGGCCGACGGAACTGACGAGGATATCAAAGCCAGAATCGGAAAAGCAAGACAGGCTTTCATTACTCTCAAGTCTGTGTGGAAGTCAACAGCACTCAGCATGATTATGAAAATAAGATCCGGATTTTCAACTCCAATGTGAAGTCAGTGCTACTTACTGTATGAATCAGAGACTTGGCCAGCGCGTCATAAAGAGAATCTCAAACAAACTTCAGACCTTCGTTAACAGTTGTCTTCGCTCAATTCCACTCAAGATCAGATGGCCGGCCAGAAAAGATCAGCAACAGGGATCTCTGGGAATGAGCGAACCAACCCAGCAGGAACCGATTGTGAAACAAATAGGCAGGAAGAAATGGAGTTAGATGGATTGGCCATACACTGAGGAAACCATCAAGTGACATCACACGACAGGCCATAGCTCTAGTGGAACCCGACCGAATGGGAAGCGGCGAGTTGGTCGACAGTGCAAGGGTGACATGGAAGAGGTCATGTGAAGAGGAGATGAAAGCATATGGGCAGACTTGGAGCGGGGTGAAAAAGTTGACAGAAAACAGAAGGTAGTGGAGACGCGTGGCTGAAGCCCTATGGATATAATAATAATAAGAGGTGATAAAATCAACTAGGGTCAAGTTAAAAGGACATATTGTAGGTCAAAATAACAATGCAGATCACTAAACCAAACAAAAGCGGTAATAGTACATCCGCACTGGCTGGTATCAAAATAAACTTTACCAAAGTAGGTTTAGTGTGATGACGAATTGTTGCTTTGAACGCATAAAGGTGGTTTAAAATTCCTAATTGCCAACTAGGGCTTCCAAAAACTTTAGTATACGGCCTAAACACATTTTATAGATAGGTTAAAAAGATGTGTAAACATCAACTTGATGTCCGATCTCTAAAATATGGTTCGTAATACAGGAGCTATGTCGTCTGTTCTCACCAGCGATGGGTTCTGGTGATTCTATTTGCTTCTGGAGCCATTTAGGAATATGCTATGAAATCCTTACTTGCAGAGATCGATCAGTCTTCCCTGTGTGTGTGCGTTCACACGTACATTCAAATTGGTTGCACATATACATTACACGATTCAGACAAATTACGTCTTCTTACTGCTTTGTTTAAAAACATAAAGGGAACTAATTGTTTTAGATATTATTATGATTGATTTGATGTTATTTAAACAACATTATTGTTGTTGATATCATTAATTCATTCACTCTTATGTATATATAACTGGAGAATGAGATGATAAATTTATCAAAAAGAATATTCTTTATTCAGTAACCATTCTTTTGAAAATTTTAATGGGCATTTTTGATCATTTTGTTATCTATTGGATCATAAAAGTCTAAAGGACATTTTTTTGTGGTTTGGTTTTAATTGTTTTTTTAATTATCTTTATTATAGCTTAATTTCGCACAGTATTTTTTTCGTAAAACCACGGAATTTTTAGCACGTGATATCGGTGGCTCAAAATTATCAGGCCGACAACTGATATCACGCGGGCGCCGACCGGGGATCGAAACCCGGACCACGTGCGTGATCGGAAAGCGCCCTAACCGCTGTCCCGCCGAACAGGAATCCATATTCTTTTAGAAGCCATATAAAGCGTTTTGATAATCGACAGCGGAAACCGTATGATGTGTCGTTTGCATCGTGGTTACCAAAATCACTTTTAAATTGGGATTGGTACGCCATGTCTTTTTACTAATTTTTTACTTAAAACCTCAAGACATAACTATATTTTTTATTTTCTAATTTTTGATTACAGCTTGATTCCACACCGTATTTTTGGTACAAGTATGGAATTTTCAGCATGGATATCGGTAGCCCAAATGTAGCAGGCCAACCATTTGATATCAGATGTTCGTTGGTGGGGGATCGAACCTCGGACCATGTGCATGGATCCGCGACAGTCCTAACCACTGTGCCACCGACTCAGTTTGTTTAAAACAAGGATTTTCCACTATAGCCTTTACCATGTATCTACCTCTTTTTCAAATATATATATATATATATATATATATATATATATGGTCATTAATGGTCAACATTTTGAAAATTAATGCAAGTTAAAGTTTACGAGAATTGTTTAACCGCTAACTTCTTTTGAAAATTGACTTTTTCATAAGCGAAATATGTTTTGCAACAGTCTGCTGAGAATAAAAGATATTGTAGGAGTAGTATGCCAGTAACTATATGGCAAACGTGAAATGATCTGATTTATTCCTGACGGACGAGGAAGGCGAGAAACATATTCATCAACCTGAAACAACCCATCTGGAAATCTTCGTCACTCAGCATCAACAACAAAATTCAGTCAGATTTTCAATACAAACGTCAAGTCAGTCGGTTCTTCTATACGGATCAGAAACTTGGCGGGTCACAGAGAATGTGTCCAACAGCCTGTTGCAGACCTTTATGAACAACTGTCTTCGCTCTATACTGAAGATCAGATGGCCGGGCCGGAAAGAATCACCAACAGGAAACTATAGGAAAAAACAAAACAAGAAGCAATCGCCAACCGACAAATATGCAGGAGAAAGTGGAGATGGATTGGACACTCGCTGAGGAGGCCGCTGAGTGACATCACGCGTCAGGCCATTGCTCGGGTGGAAGCCGAAAGGGAAGCGGCGAGTGGGTCGTCAGTGCAAGGGTGACATGGAGGAGATCGTCTGAAGAGGAGTTGAAACAGTATGGATTAACATGGATCCAGGTGAAAAGTACAGCAGAAGGAAGACAGAAGCAAGTGGAGACGTGCAGTTGAGGCCCTATGTTCCACTAGGAACCCCAGGGAACAATAATATAATAGTAATTCCTATCCATCAGATAGGTAGGCGTTAAAACAATAAAATGTCTGAATAAATTACTTCCCAAATACACTTAAAATTTATGTTTCCTATCTCGCCAGAAAATTTATTTTATGAGTGGACAGAAAAACTAACTTCCCGTTACTTGTCGAAATGATACATTGGTTTTCTGTGAATCGAAGATATTTCCTGACTACTTTCTATTTATTCTAACCTGTAGTTAAACACAGAAAGTTTTTATATGCATTTCATTTGCAGTCATTTATGAATAATTAGGCATACAAAAGAAAAATCTTATAAAGTTCCGATCAAAAATTTACCTAGAACGTAGTCAACAGAGGACCAGTTCGTTTCCTTAAACTCTCTATTTGTATGCATGACTCTGTGTTTGCGCTGCCTTTCAGATTGAATATTAAGCCATTCTTCAAGAAGGTTGCGTGAATCGGAACGATCTCCCGTAGCTGAAAACACGAGCCTTGACGATGATCCATAGAATCCTGTTGCTCCTCCTCCCATTATAACGTTGATGTCGGAGGCGTTTGTAAGAAGTTGGGCAGCAATGTCCATACATTTGTGTCCTGAACTGCTTGTTGGCCTACATAACAGTGAAGTAAGCAAGAAGAATAGTTTTATAATTTTGATATGATACAAAGAGCTACCGTGTATGATGAGCTAATGCTATCTAAGATCCAAGAGTAAATTTCCTGAGACAGTTATGTATGTTATTCATCACCAGCCTATGTGAGATCTACTAATGTAATCATAGGTAGCTTTACTTGATCACTGTATTTTAATCAGATAATTAGCAGTTTATGCAAGCTGCTCATTGACTCAATTACCGTAAAAAGAATAACTGATATTATTATTATTATTGAAGGATATAAGACACCAATGTAGTACAGGTGGCGGTTTTTACATTGGTCTTTTGTAAACTAATTGGTTTAACATAGTTCTACAACCAAATACTAAAATTAGGTAACTTCATAACACCTGATTAGCTTCTAAAATGTATAGACGAACCCTGGCCATAGTTATAAAATGTCATTTAGATGTCGATCAAAGTGGCCTGGTGTCTAGAAGAATGTTCTGAAAACATCGATTGACTTTCAGTAAGTTCTTCAAAATTTCTTGAAATTCGTTGATTTATTCCTGCAGAGAGACAAATTAATAATCTACGTGAAGCTCTTTGACATACAGTCAAAGTGCATCTACACAAAGACTTCAAGGTCAGGTCATAGAATTTGAGTGTGTGATGGCAGTATAACCTGGCAACCATATTAAACTATTAAAGGGTAGAAGCTTCACACAAATCAGGTGTTTCCTTTACCTAGTGGTAAAATCTTACTGTTCAAAAAGTATTTAGTCAGTACTCAGTGGTGGCCTGCTTAAAAATTGGGCTACCAAAAACTTCCATCTCTCTTTTGCACAAATATTCTCTCGTTCAGTTTGTTTTAATCGATTAGGGCATTATCTACTCTTGTGTGTTTTTAATATGTTTACAAGCTTCTGTTTCGTAAGTTTCTACTAAACTTGAGGAAAGGCCTGATTGTGGGTGGCAATGTGTTCCAATACATAAAAAAGGTGTTCTTCAGTTATATCCTTCCGTCTAAAAATGTACTCCTGAATATCTTACACTTGGTTTTCACCTATATATCGCGGATCACTTGAAGGAGACAAAGCAGATATATCATAATGGAATGGTTTGTGCTTCAGCACAGAGACCACTGTGTGTCACAGGATTTACTGTGAATTCATATTTTACTTGAAGATATTGTACGAAGGGAAAATACCATGCAATAATCTCCTCTGAAAATTCTATATATTTTATAAATACTATTCAGAATAAAGACGTTATTATTATATGTTAGCCCGAGGATGATGAATACTGGCTGTGTGAAATAAAAATACTTTTCCAACCAGTCCAAGCCTACTCCGCACTATTATTATTATATCCTTTAATTCCTAGAGGAACATAGGGCTTCAGCCACGCGTCTCCACTACCTTCTGTTTTCTGTCAACTTTTTCACCCCGCTCCAAGTCTGCCCATATGCTTTCATCTCCTCTTCACATGACCTCTTCCATGTCACCCTTGCACTGTCGACCAACTCGCCGCTTCCCATTCGGTCGGGTTCCACTAGAGCTATGGCCTGTCGTGTGATGTCACTTGATGGTTTCCTCAGTGTATGGCCAATCCATCTAACTCCATTTCTTCCTGCCTATTTGTTTCACAATCGGTTCCTGCTGGGTTGGTTCGCTCATTCCCAGAGATCCCTGTTGCTGATCTTTTCTGGCCGGCCATCTGATCTTGAGTGGAATTGAGCGAAGACAACTGTTAACGAAGGTCTGAAGTTTGTTTGAGATTCTCTTTATGACGCGCTGGCCAAGTCTCTGATTCATACAGTAAGTAGCACTGACTTCACATTGGAGTTGAAAATCCGGATCTTATTTTCATAATCATGCTGAGTGCTGTTGACTTCCACACAGACTTGAGAGTAATGAAAGCCTGTCTTGCTTTTCCGATTCTGGCTTTGATATCCTCGTCAGTTCCGTCGGCCTGTAGTTGAAACGATGCTTCCCAGGTAGTTGGGTAGGTGAAGGAGGTTGTTTCTTTCAGGTTCCTCCCATTTATGCTGGCTGATTTTTGCCTGTTACTGCTGCTGTTGTTGGTGTTGGCCAGGAATCTTCATCACCTCTGTTTTGTCTATGTTCACCTGAAGTCCCATCTTCTCCGGATGCTTCTTCTGCCAACTTGTTGCTTTTCACTTGCATATCTTCGAGTGAGTGGGAAATCGGACATATATCATCGGCGAAGTTCAGATCCTCCAAGTCTTTTGTGTGAGTCCATTTTATGCCTGTTTCCCCATTGTCCGGCCCGTTGTCTGTCACATTATCCAATCTACTGTAATCAGGAAGATCATTGGTGATAGTAGACAGCCTTGTCTCACTCCCGTCCTCACTTCGAAGGCTTCCGTAAGTTTTCCGTTGTGGATTACCTGGCATGCAGCATTGTCGTATAACTGTTGGATGAGATGTATAATTGTCGACGGCGCTGTGTAGTAGCGAAGTATTTGTCAAATGACCTCTCGATCGACGCTGTCAAAGGCCTTTTCAAAGTCGATGAAGTTGAGATAGAGAGGTGACTGCCATTCTAGGCTTTGTTCAATGATGATCCGTATAGTGGTCTACTCCGCACACTCTAATAAAAAGTATATAATTCGCTGAAAATTGTGTTCTTAATGCTACAATGGGAATTATTAAATTATATAATTATATGTTTCCTACGCAAATACCTGCCAAAATAAGTTGAAGTCTTTTTACATGGCCCTATTTATTGCTTCTGTATATCAACTGAACATCATAAATAATACACATGAACAAACACATAAAGAGATATAGGCTTTCTAACGCTTCTATATACCAAAAAGTAAAATCCCTGTAGTTACAATTTCCTTTAAATGAAAGCCTGATGAATACTTAAGTTTTATTGACCAGAATGATTATATTCACATCGGTCTAGTTTAAATTCTCAAGAGGTGCCTATTTCATATGCATACTGGTAAATAAGTACCTTTATTATCTATGCAACAGATGGACTACAGATTACTGAACATAGACCCTTTGGAATTATTTGAATGTTCAATTTCTAATACTTAATTAATTTGCATTTTATTCGGTGTATTCCTTCTAAACTGTTACAAGAATGCATTGAAGATTGGAAGTCTAACTGAAAATAAAGTCATAAATAGTCAGTAAACTATTTCAAAACACTAAGTCACTGTCAGCATCCTTTGTTTCTGCATCTTACTTCATTTAACTAATGCAGTTCACGTCGGTGTCATCAGTTGTTTATTTTACAAAGTTTCAATACATTGATTATTGATGGGATGTTAATATACAGCTCAAGAAGATGTTTGACTTTATTCAGTGAAGCAGGCAGTAAACACAGGCAGTGTGTGTTAATATAAGTTTTTGTAGTGAAATGCACACAGATAACATTTCTAATAAGAGCTGCGACGCAACTCGTCTTTTTTTTATTGGTAATTATATTCAGAAGAATAACTGGGTGAACAACTGCTCTCAATAAATTCATCCTCAAGCTGTACAAATTATAAATCTATTAATTTCAGCATACGCTAGCCAGTAAAAAGGCGAATTAGAATTATCTCGTCATAAAAGACGGAATAAAAGTTAGTTAGATAAGATATTTGTAAAAAAAAAATTATATTTGTAAAATACCAACGAGATTGAAATGAGTAATTCCAACGTTTCCTGTGTTCGGCAATCTGTTCCGAACCTCTTCAGGGAAATTAATCGAAATTGGCATAACACAGGTTTATTTATATAAAAGGAACAACTCTTGTTTTTGAAAATTTTGTCCAATCATGAGTCGATTCCCCTGACAACTCAAGTAGGTCGAATAAATCAGCTCAATATTCAGAAAGAAGACAAAGCAATAAGTTCAACAGGGTGCTTCAACTAAACTCTAATCCTAAACACCATAATTCTGAAAATACGTCTAATCATAAAATTCTAGATACTCACAGTTTGAACAGACATGAAGGTGTGATGTTAGATGACGCATAGGAAATTCTGATTAATTAATAAACAAGAATGGATATGTATCACAAACTAATAATACTTGGTCAAAATTCCCGAGGTTAAGACATTGTTTTACAACTGTTTATCCGCACACACGCAAATACACACTGTGTTTAAAGGTAGATCAATATTTGTGAGTCTGAGGTCAAATTTTGATCACAACTCATACAATTTTGTTTATTATACTTGTTAATACTTGTGTTTATGACTCATGACTGGACAAAGTTTTTAAAAGCAAAAGATGTTCCTTTTATATATAAACCTGTGTTATGCGAATTTCGATTAATATCCCTGAAAAGGTTCGGACCAGATTGACGAACAGAGGAAACGTTGGAATTACTCATTTCAATATCGCTGAGAATTTACAAATATAATTTTTTTTACGAATGTCTACTTCTCACTCGGCGCCCAAATATTTTAGATCCATTCTGTCAAATCTTGACGACAGTTCATTTGAATGAGTTAGATAAGATTATCGTTTGAATACATAGGAAATCTATAGTTAATATGATATTGGAATAAGATAAAACAGCTTATTGACATGTTTGTGCGTTTATAAACAACAAAAGTATATAGTTTCAAGAGTTGAGGTGTAGTCATTAGTATGAAAGACAAAATGAATACGACAGAGGAATAAACAAACAAATGGGATAAGCTAGATATTAATTCAAGGGGTAACAAATATTGACAGTTATGATGAAAAAGAACAATGATGTAGTGTGAATGCAGAAAAAATATTAGTGAATTAACTCCCAACTAATGTGCGTCAGTGGCATAGCGGTTAGGACGCTCGCCGACCACGCACATGGTCCATGGTTCAATTCCCGGCCACCGACGCACTCCTTTACCTCGTTAATTCAGAAATAATGTTGGTAAAGAGGAAAGGTTGGGAATGAGGCTAGCAACCCCATCCTGTAAAAATAAACACTGCTACAGAAACTTCAAGCCACTAGCTTGAAGTCCTATGTTCCACTGGGAATCGTGAAGGAAAAAAAATTCCCATGTAATGCAAAATTCGACAATTTAATAATCACAGTACCACCTGGATTTTCCTGTCTGCAGAAGTATGTCTAGCCGCTTAGTTTATTTTGGTTGGGGTTCGATCCTCGGCCCGCCCAGTCCCTTACCTAGCTAAGCCAGTAATAAGACTGGTAAGAAGGTAAGGTTGGGTGTGAGGCTGACGACCCCGTCCCATAAAAATACAGAAACTTGAAGCCCTATGTCCCACTGGGAACTTAGAGGAATAAATAAACAATAAGTTCAACAAATTCTTCATAAATATTGATAATTTACATTTTGAAGCCGCACTCTCAGTTCCTTCTTTGTCCTCTTGTGTCACTGACAAAGCTCTTTTTACGGCAATTACGATTTCATGATCTGTCTTATTAAATCTGTTACCATAGGTTTACTGAAAACTTTCCATATTCGTTGTTGCATTCACACGGTCTTTTGTTAAATTTTTTTATTACTTGATAGTCATTTATTCATAGTGCTTCTGTGTTCACATCACGTCATTATGATTTTATCATTATTACCAGTATGTATTTCCCCTTTAGATTACTTATACCTAGAGTATCTCATTTGTTTGTTTATTTCTCTGTCGTGTTCATTTTGTTTTTCATACTATTGACTACAACTCACCTCTTGGAAATACATACTTTTCTTTGATTATAAATTCACAAACATGTCAATAAGTTATTTTATTTTGTTTTCTCCCATGTTCTTATTAAGTACACATTTCATATGCGAATTCAAGTTGTCATAATATGAAATAGGCATAATAATACACCAGGTAGTAATAATAATAATAAGAGCATACAATAACATGAGTGGTATACTGTTTTTTCAGTAATAATAAAAGCATAGTTAAAAGAATCAATTGCCTAGTTAAACATGAAATTGAATTAAAGAGAAGACTGAGTACATATATTATATATGGATATATATATCATGTGGAATGTTATACATTAAATCATACTTACCCTATCGACTCCCAGTCTCGGTGCAAAATATTTGCATATGCTGCTGCTGGAGTTGCATGAGTAATTCTTGTAGTAGTCACAATCCCAGTAGACAGTCCTGATTTTGATGCATGCAGAAGAGAGGATTTCGCCTTTTGTTCCTCTTTCAATTGTGTGCATTCACAACATTTCACTTTGCCAGTAACACCAAGAGTTTTGAAATAACCCTTGACACCTGAAAATATAAATCTTAGTAGTAGTTGTTATTGAATATGAGTTATACGGAAAGCTATTGGTTATGCATGTGTTAATCATAGCTTATGTGAAATTCGCTAGCTTGTAAACCCTTCTTTCTATAAAGTTTGATAATACAAAAATGTTTTCCATAGTCTTTCACTTCGTGAGTAATCAGTTTTACGTGTTAAAGATACGTAGTCCTCTTATCTAAGACAGAAATCTACTGTAGGCCCCATTTCTCATGAATTGGATTCAAACAGTAATTCTAACTGATTGTCACTACCTTTTATAGTTTAAATTTTTATGATCATCAAATGTAAAGTGAAATGGTTTATTATGTGCTAAATAAATAATATGAGCAAATGACAAAATTCATTTCAAAGCTTTGAATCACACACACCACCTAGAGTTACTGACCTGACAAAAATGCAGTGGCAGCAGACCCAGAATCTGTTGTCAGCCTATCCGAATTAAATGTGCGAACAAGTGATGTGACGGGCCAGTCATCCCATTCTAAGTGTACATCACCACCTTGAAGATTCATTTTCTCTGCCTTCAGATATCTTGCACCAGTTACTGTGTTGAGGCTCATTCCATCACCAATGAATAAAATAACATTCTTTGGTGGTTTGATTGTTGAATATACATGGGAATTTTTAAATTTGTTCAACTTCTCATCAGCTAATTTTTTCCAGGTGTCAGGGTTTGTTACATCCGGTGGTGAATATTTACATTCTATGTTAAACTGACATAGTTGTATTAGAAAAAGAGTTAGGAAGATTATCGTGTGCAGTGGAACTACATTCCGGAACATGTCTGTCTATTCCAAATGAAATTTAAATTTATTTAATATGCAGTACTGAGAAGTAATTACACATTTGTACTAATCTACTCACTCAATGATTTTGATTGGTTGATTTTTTCGTCGTTCATTTGGTTGCTTAAATTTTTAATATCTTAACCATTCACGACTTGAAATTCGTAGAAGATTATGTCAAGATGTTTACTTCATATTACTGAAAGGGTTTTCAATGCAATTTAATATCATAATTATCAAGGAATTATGAATCACATGGTCACATATTCAGTTTACATGAATAGTGAATGAAACCTATTTTTATTTCTACTTGCCTCATAGATTTTTGAGTAACAGTAATGAACCTAGTTGGTTGAAACACTATTTACTGAAAACGCCTAGCTATACATTTGTATATTCAACTTTCTTTTTTTCCTTCACGTTCCCCAGTGGAACATAGGACTTCAAGCTAGTGGCTTGAAGTTTATGTAGCGGTGTTTATTTTTACAGGATGGGGTTGCTAGCCTCACTCCCAACCTTCCCTCTTTACCAACATTATTTCTGAATTAACGAGGTAAAGGAGTGCGTCGGTGGCCGGGAATCGAACCCCGGACCATGTGCATGGTCGACGAGCGTGATACACCCATTGACTGGGCATTGGTTTTCAGGAGAACCAAACACACCCATCCCTGCCTCTTGCGAGACGAGACCGGCATTCAGGGTCGTCCTGTGGCGCAACCACTCGAGAGTGCTCTCCCTCGGTGGAGTAGAGTGTTTAGCTGGAGGCAGAGACATTGAGAAGTGCTAATGCCTGAGTCACCCTAACACATTCAAAAAAATCTGTGATCAGGTGATGGATGTGGTGGTTATACATTGCAATTTCTGTTAGTATGCATCATATCCCTATCCTCGAAGTGGCTATTATGAAAATACTAATGCGCAACTAATGTTGTCAGAAGAAGACTACTGTCACCCTTTCCTTTCGTAATATTTGTGAGGTAATTCTATTTTCTGTGCGAAGATTACTGAAAATCCACTGCCGATCTTTTTGTCCTTTACGTTCCTAGTGGGACATAAGGCTTCAAGCTAGAGCTTTGAAGTTTCGGTAGCACGGGTATTTATTTTTACGGGATGGGGTTGTTTGTCTCATACCCAACCTTCCCTCTTTACCAGTGTTATTATTAGCTTAGCAAGGTGAAGGAGTGAGTCGGCCGGGAGTTGAACCCTGGACCACCTAGGAGGTTGGCAAGCATTCTACCGTTGTGCCACCACCGCATGCCTATCTTTTTACTGTGTGGTAATTAAATGTCCTGCCCATGAGCTTATGATGTCTAAAAACTTTTTCAATTCATTCATATCGCTTAAAGTTAGGCTTATCTGATAACTTTTTTCTATGTCTTCAGTGAAACTATAACAGCTAATAAAGCTCGTAGTAGTGAAATTATTTTGCTGCCAGCTCAAATACCTTGAATTTGATCATTCTTATTAATTGTTAATACTTAATTGTGGTGTTTTGTCTTTCATAAACTATCAGTCTGCACTCTACTGTACTCTACTCTTACTTTATTGTGGCAGGCACAAGTTATTAATGTTCAATTATCAATCATAAAATGAATAATAAGCATATAAGTTAAATCCAAAAACTGTTTAATCCTCTAATAAGATAATAGATTATAGACAGACGCAGTAATTCGATACACAGTACAATGGAGAAAATAAGTTTACAGCTTATAGCACTTTTAACGTTATAGTTCAAGAATGAGAGGTAAGTAAAGTCATTAAGTTAACTGTAAAAATGTCAACTGATTAAAGATGCCTATTCGAAATTTGAAGAGAATGATTATTGAACAAAATTATTCTTTTCAATAACTTCATCATCAAGCTCTACAGTTATATATCCGTAATAATGAAAGAATGATTTTAATTGACAACATTGGTGGTTTTTAAAGAGTAACATCGGATCATTTAGATCAAAATTCTAAAAGTTATTTTCACTTAGGTTGTTGATAGATTATAGTCCAAAATATATGATGTGGTAAGACGTAAAATTGTAATATTAAATTGAACACTAATATTACAAAGTAAATGATTATGAATGATGACGAATGTGTAGGAATATGCATATAAATTCCATTATCCCTTGTCATTACACCTACATTAACTAACCTTTTCGTTTCTTTGTAAAAAATTATATTTGTAAAATCTCAGCGATATTGAAATGAGTCATTCCAACGTTTCGTTCGTCAATCTGGTCCGAACCTCTTCAGGGAAATTATTCGAAATTGATATAACACAGGTTTATATATAAAAGGAAAATCTCTTGTTTTTAAAAACTTTGTCCAATCATGAGTCAAGTCACCTGACTCACCTAAGACTTACAAATATCAGAATTTCCTATGCGTCATCTAACATCACATCTTCATGTCTGTTCAAACTGTGAGTATCTAGAATTTTATGATTAGACGTATTTTCAGAATTATGGTGTTTAGGATTAGAGTTTAGTTGAAGCACCCTGTTGAAATTATTGCTTTGTCTTCTTTCTGAATATTGAGCTGATTTATTCGACAAATTGGAGTTGTCAGAACGCGTATCCTAAATCCGTAGTTGTCCAGTCAACTGACAACTCAAGTAGGTCGAATAAATCAGCTCAATATTCAGAAAGAAGACAAAGCAATAAGTTCAACAGGGTGCTTCAACTAAACTCTAATCCTAAACACCATAATTCTGAAAATACGTCTAGTCATAAAATTCTAGATACTCACAGTTTGAACAGACATGAAGGTGTGATGTTAGATGACGCATAGGAAATTCTGATTAATTAATAAACAAGAATGGATATGTATCACTAACTAATAATACTTGGTCAAAATTCCCGAGGTTAAGACATTGTTTTACAACTGTTTATCCGCACACACGCAAATACACACTGTGTTTAAAGGTAGATCAATATTTGTGAGTCTGAGGTCAAATTTTGATCACAACTCATACAATTTTGTTTATTATACTTGTTAATACTTGTTTTATGACTCTTGACGGGACAAAGTTTTTAAAAGCAAAAGATGTTCCTTCTACATATAAACCTGTGTTATGCGAATTTCGATTAATTTCCCTGAAGAGGTTCGGACCAGATTGACGAACGGAATGTTGGAATGACTCATTTCAATATCGCTGAGAATTTACAAATATAATTTTTTTTACGAATGTCCACTTCCCGCTCGGCGGCCAAATATTTTAGAACTATTCTGTCAAATCTTGACGACAGTTCATTTGACTTTTCTTTTCTTTCCAAGGGTTGATTTGTGAGGATTAGGTATATTTTTCGAGATTGACCACGGATTGATACCGTTCAGAGAACCATTGAAAACCAGGGAGTACTGGACAGCTGTTTCATCCTCGTTTGAGAATAATAGGCTGTACGCACGTGGTTGTCAACTTACACAGTGATACACATACAACTCAATCCAAAATATCTTTTTTCTCTACTCCCGTCCTTGACATGATCATTCATCCATCTGAAGTTTGTAATCATTATGAACAGAACCTAATATGAACATCACTCAAGAGAATTTATTGCTGTACACTCATTGTCATCCATAATCATTGACTTTGTAATATTAAGGTACAATTTAGTATTACAATTTTACATATTACCACATACATATATTTGGGACTATAATCTATTAACAATCTAATTGAAAATAACTTTGGGAATTCTTATCTAAATAATTCGATGTTCCCGTTTTAAAAACCACTAATGTTATCAATATCAATCATTCCTTCATTATTATGGATACACAAATTTCAGTCAAAATTTTAACTATACCTATCAAATCTCCATTCTATCTAAGATTATAGAAATGTTTATAAAATAAATATATATAGGAGAGACAGGGAATCTCTTAGCATTAAAGTAACCTGCCAAATTAATCTTAGATTCACTGATGTCTTTTCGTGCGTATAAAATTGAGGACTTCAATTCTTGTATTCAAAACCAAATGTAAACTACCCCAAACTTTGCCTGTATCACCTACTAATTACTGTGGTTTCAAGTTCATATTTTTAAATTTCTAGTGTGCTACTGAGCTGTTCAAGCTGCTTGATCTGATGAGTTGTGAGCTTTTATAAGCATATTGCGTTAAATGAGCTAAATCCCGTCTTTCAGTTTTTATGATGTATTTGCTTTGCTATGTGCAGAGAAATAAGATATACGTGGCATAAGACAGATACCTTTCAGTCTTCATCTCTAATACAATGGTACAATACAAGTTACACTAAGATGTTAATTTCTGATATTAATAAACTTACATTTGAATACTGTTTTCAGAATTTGATTTGTTTTATCATCAATTTGATGACCCTTCATTGAGATTCAGATGAATACGTGTTCAGTAACTGTCACTCGTGTTCACAGCTCTTTCGCCTCCCTCGACGAGCAATGTTAGAAGATATAGGGTCAGGCTGGAAAAAAGCTAGCGGCGGTCAAACAAAAACTTGGCATCAGTCAATGAAATCCACAACAGTTGGTCTAAGCCACGTAGAAAGGTGTAGACTTCCAGGCTGGGGTCCTCGGGACGGTAAAAATCTATAGTTGGAAACAATTGGTGACATGGCTCAAAACCGTTCTCAGTGGCGCAGATGCATCCACTCCCTGTGACTTATGATCTTCAATGAAACTGTTTTGTATTTCTTTATTACTCCTTTGTCTCACACCTCTGTTCACTGTTTCTATTATGCTTTTCTTGTACTTTCTTCTCTTTCTTCGCGTGCTACACGGGATGTGGCGACTTGAACTTCCGCACATTTGTGCAAAGTTCTATGTCGAAAACAGACAGACAGACAGCTCTTTCCATGAAATCCATGAATATTCTTCTGTAAAAGATATTCTGATGGTATTCCTCAACTAGAACATATTACTCCTGCAGTTTTTATGATCACTGAACCATGCTATGTGTGTTAAACTGAATTTTTTCAAAATTCAAGTGTCTAATTAAACGGAAGAAGGGGAATTCGAGATATCA